CGAGGCGGAGGTGCGGCCCCCGCCGCGGCGGGGGGACGCGCCGCTGGACCAATCGTAGAGCGCGGCCTCGCCCCGCCGTCGCCGAAGCGACGAACCAGCTTCTCCCACCCACTCTACCGGAGGCGGGGCGAATGCTAAGGAAGACGCCGAGCCTCACAGGCCCCCGGACCGCACCACTGCTGGGGAGACTGCTGGCCAATGGCGCGTCGGGGGGGCGGGTCTATGCAGACGAAGGCGGTACCGGGAGCCTCCGCTGCCCCGGGAGGGGCTCACCTGGCGCGTTTCGGGAGGGACGGTGAAGCCTCCGGTGCACAGACGCACACAGTCGTGATGTAGCCGGTATCGGCAAATTGTGCTTTGTGGGCCACTTATATCGTCCGTCAGCTGCGAGAGTGAGCGCAGCTCACCATAACCTGTGTAGGACAAAGTGTCCTCCTTACCCAGCTGTGAGGAAAAGTTCATTTTTTTCTGCATCAGTACCTAGCCGGTCCGTGCGTGTTCTGGCCTATGCCATCGTTTGCTGTGCACTGGTATGAATTTAACCAGTTCTGTGGGTTTTTGTTAACATTCTAGCCACCTTTGAGGCATGTCACACCTAGGCCACTTGGTGTGATAGTTCGATTTTTAGGCCTTGTCCGGCGTGTGTCTTCTGGGCAGCCTCAGTCACCTTGTCTGCCTGTCCAGCACTGCTGCTTGGAGCAGGTTAATGGGCATCTGGAAATCAAATCAAAATCGAAGTCAACAAAGCCATGGGCTGGTAGCTCACAGGTTAGAGTCATTCCCTCCCAGGAGAGAAGCTGGCAGGTGCCTTTATTTCTCTCGCCCTGAACTTGCACTTGTTCGTACACAACAGGTAACTGGAGGCAAGTTTGTAATCATCCACTTCAGAGTAATTACTGGCATGCTAAAGCAATTGAGACTATTCGTAGATGTTGATGCAAGTATCAAAACTGTGAGTCAGGAGTTTAATTTGACTCATAACATTTCTTTTAGATAACACCTGTTCTGCTCTTTTTATTTACCTTCTCATTTCTCAGTCTGCAAGGCGTTTTCCTTCACATACACTTAGACTTCTTCCACAATCAGAGATTTGAAACTCTTTTCCACCGAAATGTCTCCCTCCCTCCCTTTTCATACCTGAAAGCTAAGAATCGAATAGAATATCATTGGACCCAGCAACCATGACTGTAAAAGGAAAAAAAAAAATAAAAAAGATTGCAAAGCATGCACAGAGTGAGGTGCTTCAGGGCAGATCAGCCACGGAGGTAACAAGCATCCATCCTGAGGAGCTAGAAACCAATTGGTCTGGATTAAGTACGTCTCGTATCACTAAGACAAAACAACCCATTGATACAATTGCTGAGGGAGATCTCATTGTCCTAGGAAATCATACGGGATGTCACGAGCGTCCAGCACAAGAGTGAACAAAAACCGCTCGGGAACGACGAGCTGGAGCCTGAGTATGGAACAGTAGGGAGTGAAGGAGGGAGATGAGTCACAGAAATATTTATCCTCAAAATGATCTTCCCTACCACTGATACACTTCTCAATGCAAAGCAAATATAGGAATTGGCATATTAATTCTGCAGCGCAGAACGTGTTCATCAGAGGTGGATACAAATGGTTTTTAATGGCTGCCAGGCCAGTGGGGGAAATCATGGCTACGCCAGACCTCGGCCACCAGAACAACTCACCTGTGCAGGGGGTGGGAGAGAGGGCAGCCAGGCCAGGCAGGAGTGGACCTGTCCCGGTGGGGTGGCTGCGTCTCTAGGGGGTAACCCGGGTTTGGGCACCGCACGAGGGCTCCTGCTGTGGACCAGAGACCACCCGCAGATGTAGCACCATGAACAGTTGCCTGCTGTAGGCACCTTGCAAGGAATGGAGGTGGTCAGAGGTAGGAATGGCAGCAGAGACCCACGTCGTCATGGGATTTATTCCTCCACCTGCACTTGTGTAAAGTGTGTTTTCAGAGGTGCAGCACCAAAAATACGAACCACTCCTTTGCTGCCTGGCTCTCTGCTGCCCTCCCCAAATACTTTACCTGGCACACTGTCTGTTGATTCTGGAGTATTACTCACCTCTAAATGAGCTGACAGCTCCTGGCCATCAGCCACATGCTGACAATATACAAGACAGGAATTAACAGTGATAATGCTCCTTGCTCTGGCACAAATGCAGGGATTTAAATGAAATCTCCACTGAGCATTTCTCACACACATTGGGATTGAGGAGTGTTTTGGGGTGGGCACAGCTGGCTCGGAGGATGTCTCTCCATCTCTCTGGATCCAGTCTTGCTATACCCACATGCTGTTTCACCCCTGCAATCAACCAGATGAAGTTCCAAGGCAGTTGTTATTGGTTTCATCTTTAGGGAAAACAAATCTTTGGGAGGACAGGATAATTTGTATCATTCCAAATCTGGTTTTAAAGTTTTCCTGCTTTGCCCGGAAAAGTGATTATTTTTTTCCAGTAGGCCCTGATTCAGCAACCCATAGTTGGATTGCTCAACATTATAGGCTCGACATTAAGCACAGAAAAGTTCCTATTGCAATGTTTAAGCAAAGGCCCACAAACAGAAAGTAAGCGTCAATTTAAATTATTTTCTGACTGAAAAAGCCTTTATTGTAAGTAAGCAGCTGATCTGGAAGAGTTCTCCAAAAAGATAATGAAAAGAGAAATCCACTGATTAGATGACCAAGGAATATTGAATCTGTGTAACTTTTGCAGATCTTAATTGAAGGCATGTGCATTCTGAGCCTGTCACAAAAATCATTCTCCCAGGCATTTTGTAGGCATTTGAACTAAATGCCCACGCTTAGTGAAAACAAGGCTAATTGATTATTTATTCTTTTATTAAATATTCAGGGGCTACTTCGTTAGCAATCTAAAATCACAAAAGCCCAAAATTGGACAGGGAGAAGAATCTAGCTCCGTATTTGTCTCCCTCCTCTGTTGGCAATGAGGGGAGAGAGCACTTGCCTTTTAAAGGAAATGGCATGGAAAATTTTGCTTTGATGGCAAAAGTTTTGCAACATTAGAAGTAATTAAAATGGGGTTTTACAGTAGAAAGTATTGAGCAACTCAGACATAGGTGTAACCATCAGCTCCACCTATAATAAACCCAACTGTTCCCCTCCTGCAGAGCAATGCAATCCGCTTAGAAAACTGATCCAAGCAAACCTTGTTACTGCAGCAGATTTACAAAACCTAAATTGTGAGAGAATAAGGAAGGGCAAAATGCAAAAACAAAACACATTGATCCTGTGATCTAGAGATAATGCAAGGAAATGTGGCACGTTACAGCAAAAATACTGATTGTCTTTCACCAGTTGTATGTAGGCACAGACAAATGCCTCTTCTCTCCTCCTCCAAATAAGCCAGCAGCCAAAGGCAGCCACTTCAGTCCCAACATGTGTGGGCAAGTGCTCACCTCTGCCATGGGAAGCTCTGCTCAGACAATGACTCCTTGCCAGGGAACTTCAAAACCAAACTTATTCGTTTAGTGAGCGCTCCAGCATCTTCTGCCTCACGTTGTGCTGGTCCCTCCTTCATGCCGTGCTTATCTGCAGCGCGAAGCTGGGGTTCCCGGCACACTGTGCCTCCACAGTCCCCTGAGAGCTGCGAGAGGGAATTTCAAAGACACAGCGTTGTCCTTATGTGCCGAATGAGCTTGGAAACGCTGCCGCTCCTGTTTGCCCATGGCTTCACCTCAGAGGAGTATGGGGCTTGTCCACACTTGAAAGCTAATTTGGATTAAGGGAGGGTGTGAGTTAAAAGCACAGGAGCAATTCCAAAATATCTCTAGGTAGATAAGCCCCGAGGTATCAAAACAATTGATTAAATGTACCATCACTAATTGCAAGATCAGTGGAGAAGGGAAATAAGCGTGCTCAAGAGAGAAGAAGGTCGCGCATCCCAGCACCGGCAGAGACGGGGCAGGTTTGGGTTTACCCTCAGCCATCAGCCACAGGGAGATGTGGATATGGAAGTGGGACGTGGGGAAAGAGCAAACCTCGTAAGAGGATGAGCAGGACTGTAGCCAGGAGCCCAGCCCACCTCTGGTTATTGCCCAGTGTGCGGTACTGGCTGTCGGGGCAGGAGCTCCCCAGCCCGGGGCAGGTACCAGCCTGGACAACCACGCTGTGCCCAGCTGGAGACGGTGGTTTTCACATCCTGTTCTCTGCAGCTTTCTTGTTAAATATTAATTGTGATTATTATAAGATGGCACACCCCTGTCACGCCATGCCGGAGGCTGTGCAAACACGGAATAGAAAGAAACTTTCTGCCTTAAAGAGTTTGCAGTGGCAGTCTCCCTCTTCCCAAGTGAGAGGAGGCTGCATCCAGATACAAGTGAGCTAGACGCCACTTTGCAAAATGGGAAACAGACAAATCTTTCACAATCTGAGTAATAAAGA